GGCCGCAGCCGAGAGTCGGGCACGGCCACGGCCGGAGGGGTGGCTGTCGCCCGCGACCTGGCGGAACCTTTGACGTGGGTTCCAGGCGTTGCCGAGGGAACCGCGTGTTTACGCAGGAGCGCGGGGCGGGACGCCCGCCAAGTACTTTCCGGAAAGCCAGCGTACAACATCACCCCTCTCCTACCCGCTCCCGAGGATACCCAGCCAGGAGGGTCTGGGATCCAGAAAGGGCCAAGTCGATCTCCTCAGGGACCACTGCTTGGCCAGATAAAGAGGGACTGGGACCTCATATAAAAGACCAAATTCGGCAAGGGTTCATTCTCAAGCTCTCCTGTTGGATACAAATGCCCTACAGGGAGGCCTTTGTGGGGGACGCTTTGCTCCCTGTGGGTGTTTCTGGCATATGCAGGTAGGGAAGGAATCAAGAACCTGATCTAAAAAAAACTATCCAAATCCAGCCATCTGAAACTGGAGGGACAGAATAATTTAAACCAGGTGTTCTCAAACTGGAGCGTGCAACAGTTACCTAAAGGGCTTGCTAAAACACAAGTGACAGGGGCCCAATCCCAGAGTGCCAGATTCAGTGGGTCTGGGGTCCCGTCCTAGAATTTGCATTTCTAACAAGTTCCCAGGTGGTAATGATGTTGCTGGTAGGAGGACCACACTTAAGAGTACCACTGATGTAGTACGCTTGTTAAAATGCAGATTCACTGGCTGACTCCCAATATCACCCCATAGGTGATTCTGATACAAGATATGCAGCTCAGAAAATGACACCACTTTCCTTCTAGCTTACAAGACAAAAACTTAGGATTCTTTTTAGATAAATTCTTCTTCCTCACAACCAGTCCATGTCCAATCGCCAAGACCTGGAAATTTTACTTGTTAAATATCTTTGTATCCATTTACTTCCTCTATTACTTTATCCTCCACCCGAATCTTAGCTCTCATCCTCTCTTCTTTGGACTACTGCTGTCACCTCCTGATTGGGTCTCCCCACATCCAGCCCCTTCTTTACACTATAGGTAGAATGCTCTTTAAAATAAAATAAATTTAATCATGCCATTCGCTTATTTAAATCCTTTGAATGGCTTTCTCCATTTAATTTAGAATAAGGACCCCAATCATTACTTAATGTTTCCTACGAGGCACTACATGATTTGACATCTGCTTCCTCTCTAGTCTCATTTGGGTCCATTTTCTTTCTTTTGTGCTCCATTCCAGTTACACTGGCCTTGTGCAAGTTCCTTAAACCTTCCATCTTAGGGCATTTGCACTTGCTATCCCCTCTGCCTGAAAAAACTCCACCCACCTCCCCAATTCTCTTGCATCACCATCTTCACATGAATGTTAGTTTTTCAGGGGAAGGCTTCCTTGGCTGGTAGAACATACCACTGTCTATAATTATTATTTTTTTATGATTAAGCATAATTATGATTAATCATAATTATGATTTTTTATGATTACTTGCCTCCCACTGTAGACCACAGACTCTGTGAAGCCAAGAACTTTGGTGTTTTTTGTTTGTTTGTTTGTTTCTGTTTTTGTTTTGTTTTTTGATCCCTAGCACTTAACACTCTGGAAAACTGCTAGATACACAAAAAATTAATTTTTGAGTGATTGTAGGAGAATCTGGCAACTGAGAGACCAGTTGACCAGTTAAGAAAAGACATTGTAATAGCACAGGGAAAAATGAAAGAGTCTGAAATAAGGCATTTATAGTGAAGAGGGGAAGAAATTGTAAAAAGGTAGTATATGGATTAGTGACTTTGGATATAAGGAATACAAACAGAGCACTGTCTCACTTAGGCAAAAAGGAATTTACTGAGGGACAGGAGAGTTCAAATTACAAAAGGATAGTCTAACAGCCAGCCTTTTCCTCCAGGTGGGGAGCTAACAGGCTTTTCATGTATTTCAGAGATAAAAGAAGTTGCCAGGGAGTGGAGACTCACCTGTAACACCTGGGCCCAAATGAGTAATTAAAATAGATTAGTTAAAAAGTTTTTCTCCTCAAATGTAGTCCTACCAGCAGCATCAACATCATCTAGGAGCTTGTTAGAAATGCCCCAAACCATGCCTAATAAGTGAAAATCCACATTTTAAGATCCCCAGGTAATTCATACATACATTGAAGTATGAGAAGCATTGCCCTAAAGAGGGATGTTATGGAATTTGTGGGTTTTGAGGGATGAACAGAAGAGTGACATAACTCTTATGGACTCTGGGGGACTTGGGGCAAAATGCATTGCAAGTTCATGATGAAGAAGAGGAAATGGGTTTGAGCCCACACAATTGCAGCACCTGGTGGGTACTAAAAGGAACTGGGTACTAATATAATTGGCTTTGAGAGCCTCAGTGAGTTGCTCTGTGGCTGAGCTCAGCACAAAGGGAATGGAGGTTCTGCCTCTAAAATGTACCATACTCGCCTGCCAGGAGCAAGCCACAGTGTCCACCATGGATTGAATAAACTCTTGGGCGACCATTAGATTTGACAGATCAAGCATAGTTTCCAATGAGTAATGCGGTAGCAACTAGACTGCAATAGTTAAATAGAAAAAGGAAGATGAGAAAATGTACCCAATGACCAGAGAGTCAGGAATCCAGAAGCCTGGCTACAATGGGAAGGAAACGGGTAACAGCAAGCTAGAGTGGGCAGATAGACGAAGGATGTTTCTGTCATTTTGTTTATGATGAACTCATGTCAATACTTAGAGGAAAGAACCAGTAAGCAGAACAAGGTTACTTGAAAGAGGTTAATTGATGAAGCAAAACCCTTACCAAAGACGAGAAGGGATAAATGTGAGCAATTTTTAGAAGATGGAATCAACAAGGCTTTGTGACTGATTAAACACATGGAGGTGAGAGGAGTTAATTTCCTTAGTGTTTTTGACTCTAAGAGAGATGGGGCAGAGTACAGAAGGAATGAACATTATTGCAAGTTTGTCTCTGGTTTGGATTAGAATTCAGGAAGATTTAGGCAATACTTATTTTTTTTTAACATTTAAGAAGTGTAACATTTTTCTTAAAATATGTATCTTAGAACAAGCTCTGTCTATCCTATCTTAGAAGTGGAGGAAGGAGGAAAATACAGGACTTGGAGCCAAAAGTACTAGATTTACAGCCTTTAATGTGACCTTAAGAGAGTTATTTAATATGTCTGACTTGCATTTCCCTCATATATATAAAGGGGATAAAAATAGTAGCACACCATGGGCAGGGCAGAGGGAAAGGTTTGCCCTGGAGTTGATAAGGGGTGCATTGTCTGTAGACAATTTTAAAACAATGATAAAATTGGCTAAAAGTGAGTCTGCTTTTTTATTATTATCATGCGCTGACAATTCTAAACGATCAGTGATGAAATACTTCTTATTCTTGGTTGCCATGGGATAATACACATTCTGTAGTGTACTTTACTAATGTAGAAGATATGTGTGTGGCAAAATGTTATAAAATATAACTTTTAAAGTATGTATTTTCAAATCAATGTGGCTCGAAATTTGGAGAGAAAATAGTGGCTCTGTTTTTATCTTTGAAAGAAGCACTGCAAGTCTCTCTAATCTGTAAAAATTTTCTTGGTCATATTGTTAGTGATAGCGTCATTTTTGGAGGAAAATAATTTGTTTACCAGAGGACTTTATACAGAATGAGTGTAAAACATTAGTGTTTGTGTAATTACTAGGGAAATCCAGAATATTAATTTTATAGCCTTCATTTTGGTCAGGTAATTCAGTCACAGACCTAATAACTGGGTCTATGAAGACCTGCTGGATGACAAAGCCAGTTAAAATGAATGAATTAGGTCAGTTTCTGTATGTTCACAAAACAAATGTTATTACTTCTTACCTCAGAAAAGTACTGAATATGAGCATCACACATCAAATAATTTTTTAATACTTCATTTTATAATAACTGATAATGATCAAATTTATTTTTAACAGGTTCACAATTAACTAGCAAGAATGTCAATAGTTACATTTCTCTCATGTTTTAAATCTACTTGGCATGTAATTGGTAGAGTATGAGGCTCATCCCACTGTAGTGATTCACTGATTTATTTCTATTGTGTATATATATTTCAATAATGCAATACACAATCCCTTTCTTAAGAGCCTTAAAGATATATCAAAAGTCTGACTGTAAGTTGGTCTTCTCATGTCAGTTTATGAGTCTTCAGGTACCTGAGGTAGGAGGTGGGCTTTGTAGCACAGACAACATCCTGGCAGCAACTGTAACGACATCTACCCAGAAAAGCTGGCCCCAGGCTATGTATGCTGAGTGTTGAGTACCTTATAATAATTCATCTTCCTTACAACTTGCTTAGAGAGAGGGCATTATTTTACTCAAAAACTAGAAGACTTCTAAGAGTCATTATTGTGAGGGCTACAATTTAAGCTATTATTCAAAGAACATTTAAAACAAAATATTATAGCAATTATCATAGAGTAGTATTTTAAAATAAGAACTAAGGCTTTAATTTTACCTGATATGTTAATAACTAGAAAAATATTCTGAATTTTTGGCATTGTATATACTAGACATAAGTGAGATTTATACCTGTATATACATGTACGTGCAAATATGAGGTATAATGACTTTATATTTAGCCACAGTGTACCATTTTAGAAAGAACAGGAGTTAGCTTATATGTACAATTTGGATATATGTTTTCACATAATTTATAGTAAAATTACCTAAAGATAATTATTGTTTTAAAAGAAAGCCCTTAAAAATCACAGAAATCACTTAAGAAGAAATCCATCCCTCAGTGGGTCATCGTCTTCTACTACAAAACTTGCTGTACCTGTGTAATGGGCTCGTCCAGATACTTCCACTATAACAGCATTAAAATCACCACATTTTGCTTCCTGAGAAAAGATAATGAAAGGAGTATAATATCAAACTACTGCACTCACATTATATTTGGCCTAAAAGTCATATTCTTGATATTTATCATTTTAAAGAAAACCCAAGAGTTAATCCAATAGGCAATGAAAGGTTTTTAAGGAGAGCAACCTGATCAGATTTGTGTTTTAGATAAGTTTAGTTGTAAAGTAGGGGACAGATTTGAGAGGAGAGAGACTAGATACTCAGAACCCTGTTAAGAGGTAACCTTACTTAATCCATTGATTGAATCTAGAGTCACTAGTATAGTTTTTAGTGAGGGTGGAGAAAAAATACAGAGATATCAGAGGTAGAATTGACAGGCCTACATACTGATATATACGGAAAGTGAGGAATAGGAATAAGTTTAATATGACCATAGCTTCTAGCTTGGAAGTGAAGCTGGTGCTACCATTAACCATGATGGGGAATGAGGCAGAAGAGGCACACTTGGGAAGGAAGGGAGAGAGGGAGGGAGAGAGGACTTTTTAACTAGTTGAGTTAGAGCTATCTCTGGAACAATCATTTAGTGATAAGTTTAAGTAGACAATTGGGACTACAAGTGTTAGACTCACTTGAGTGAATGAAATTGCCCACTGGCAACAACTTGCAGATGAGATGAGAAGGAAGTTAAGGATA